CCCCAAAACCCCAAAACCCCAAAACCCCAAAACCCCAAAACCCCAAAACCCCAAAACCCCAGGGGGAGCTGGAGTATTGAAAAATTCAAAGTAGAAGAGAATTTAGCAAGCATTTGCTTTAATTCAATTAAATTGATAATGCCAGAAAATGTTTCTCGAAAATGCGATGCAGTATTACAGCCAATCTCCAAAGTCACCGTCAAAGTCATCAAAATCATCTCCCATGGAGTCATTGTCTTGTTCTTCCAACAAGAACTGCCTCAGTTCGTCATCAGTCTCGTCAAAGGGGTGGTAATAGACATCTTCATAGTTCGGCTTGAGGACATCGTATATAGGGTCTTTGGTTGTATTGTTTCTGATTAACTGTAAGCTCTCTGACATATAGGTCTCCAACATCTTATCAGTATTGCCTGCATTTAAATTGGAGTAAACAGAGCTCTTGTTATCCTTTAAATTGAATTGGTCAATGCCTTCTTTCCATTGCTGATATGAAACTCTGAGATTATCGAACAGTTTCTTGTGTGATCTCATAGCATGCTCATAAAAAGCGAGAGAAATCTCCTTTTCATTCTTCTCAGGTAATTCTAAGGGGAGAACTTCACAAATAGGTGCATCTATAGAGTTTCTGAACGGGTTGTTGGTACTAGTGTGAGACCTAATTACATTAATCTTGGGTTCATCTTCGATTTCATTACTTTCTGACTCAGAGTCTTCAATGATCTTAGTGTTTCTCGTGTACCTTATTTCTATGTTCTTTTCCTCTTCCTCTTCTTCGTCTGGAGTCTTGTATCTCAGGTCGGCATGGGTGTTGTTTCTGAGCAGCTTTGAGTTTCTTCCTTCCTTAAGATAAGGCTTCTGGATAATCCCTTGAATAAAATTGACAATCTTTTCTTCCTTCTGTTTACATCTCTTTACCGGAGTGACTTCAGGTTCATTGTCATATTCAGATTGTTTTGCAAATTTAGATATCTTAGTAGTTGGTTTAAATAAAGAGGCAACCTTCTTCTCTTCTTCAGATTTAGTTTCCTCTCTATTCTTGCTCTCATACTCATCGATAGAGTATTCGATGTACAGTTTATTTTATTTTGTTCTCAGTGTTGATGCAAATTGTGGCATAGACAAGATTGTGAAGACGTCTCTGGCTATGTCTGATCATAATAGTGTTCAAGTTGTTCATGTATAACTGAGATATGGTCTGAAATATCTCAGGGGATCATTTGGTGAACAGGTTTTTTAAGAATGGCTTTGTTTGTTTCATTATTCTCTCTTCTAATTTTGGGTAGAATATGTTAAGATTCACTTGAGAATCCTCTATTTGTTTCACACAATACTCGTTGATAGACACATCAAGAACCATCTGAAGTGCGTTACTAAAAATCTGGCCTTCAATGAAGGAGAAGGAGTAGTTGTTTTTAAGATAATTTGAAAAATACTTTTTCTCTTTCTTCAGGTTGTCGAAATCTTCTGCAAGTTTAGAAAGCTTGCTCTGATAGTTCACCAAGATATTTATAATTGTCTCACTGAACTTATGAAACAGTTTCTTCATCACATATTTTCCCCAAGCTCTGCACATCAGTCGAAGGAAGGAGAATTTTGGTTGATTGTCTTTCATCTTAGGCAAAGCGTTTTGGATATCATCATGGTTATACATTGAGTTGACTAAAACTTCAATAAAGTTAAACTCGGATTCGAATATCTGAATCAGAGAAGTAAAAGATTTCCATCTAGTTATGTATTCATCCAGGAAATTCACCTTATTCGATTTGGACTCAATCGATTTTCAGATTGTTATTCAATGGTTTGTGATAAAAAGATCAATGCAAAATAAAAAGGACAAGATACTAGATTTAGGAAGATAGTTGTCCTCTTGGTAATTTTTATACCAGCGAAAGAGATCAAATAGAAGCACTTCCTTCTCTTTGATAATTTCTTCGACAAATTCTTCCTGTCTTTCAATAGCATTTTCATACATTTCATCAGTCATGACCTTCCAACAGTATTTTTGGGACTTCTTTCCTTTAGAATGAAGGTACATTAGCTCTTGGAACTCAGTTTGGAAATTTATATAGGTATTATCTTTATTTTAGAATATTCAACTGAGGTCTAGCCTTCTTAATTTCATTAAACATTAAGTTTGTTAAACTCACGTTAAACCCGTGTTCTCAATCTGTAAAGATATTTGGGATGAGAACATATAGCTTCTTCTTTATTCTCCATCTCAAACTGATCTGTTCAATAATGAAGTTGTACCATGATTCGTTGGACATTTTCACTTGAGGTTCCTCGTAATCGATAAAGGGATTTCTTAACAAATCATTAGAAGACAGCAGTATTCTGTTGGCTTCTCTTTCTGAAAGGATAATCATCACAGTTTTGACCTTATCCGAATGCTTCTTGGATGAAATCCTGAGATAGTTCATTTCTCTGAATGTGAGGTACTTCAAAATCTCGTATAATGAGTTTACGCTAAGTCGATCCATTTATTATAATACTAATTAATATTTATCAATTATTTCTCCCTCCTGGGGTTTTGGGGTTTTGGGGTTTTGGGGTTTTGGGGTTTTGGGGTTTTGGGG